ACGCTTGAGAGGCATTTGTTGGAGTTTCTAGCGCTGAACAATTTGTCTCAGTATAATAATGTACTTAATTTTAAAGGTAAATTTTTGGACCTCATTCTTTCTACTTCCATAATTTCAACTGTACGTTGTAGTGATCTGCCCTTAACTAAAACTGACCCTTATCATCCACCTTTGGAATTCTCAATCTATGGCCAGGAGCGTAAAGGTTTACTAGGTAAAGTTAACAATGAAAGATATAACTATCATAAGGCTAATTATGGCAGGATTGTAGACGATTTAGATTCAATGCACTGGGAAAGTTATCTGTCTTCTTCTGACTCTGTTGATGTAATGGTGTCTAAATTCTATAAAGTTTTTAAGAGTCAATTGTAAAGCATATGCCAAAAAGCCGGCCACTTACGGGTAAGTATCCAGCCTGGTATACAAGAGAATTGATTCATCTTTTAAATGAAAAGAACAAACTTAGGAAAAAGTATATCAAATACAAGAATCCGTTGGATAAATTAGCTCTCAATTTAATAAAAAAAAGGTGCACGGATCTGACCAATGCTTATTACCTTAAGTATATGAATAATATGGAGGACTTTTTATCCAAAAACCCAAAATTATTATGGACACATATAAAAAACCGGCGTCATAACAGTACTATTTTGCCCTCGTCAATGAATCTTGACGGGGTCAAAGCTGTAGGTGACGTTAATGTATGTAATCTTTTTGCTTCCTTTTTGCCACCGTTTATGGCACCACAAGTTCTGCATCTCCACAGGACTGCATGATGGAATTTCCTTGCTTGAGCCAGATTATTGGGGCTATTCAATTTTCTCAGAAGGAAGTGCATAAAGCATTGAGAAGTTTGGATGGAACAAAAGGTGCCGGGCCAGATAACATACCTACTCTTTTTATAAAAAAGTGCAGCATTTCTCTTTCCCCACCTCATATTTCCATTAGCGTGGAAGGAAGCTTTTATTATCCCTGTATTTAAAACAGGTGTTAACTCATCTATAAAAAACTATAGACCGATATCAATTTTATCTGTATTCTCTAAAGTCTTCGAGTCCTTGTTGTGTCCGCTTTTGTCATGACATATTAGTCAACAGATATCACCTCAGCAGTCGGGCTTTTTGGTGTCTCGATCCACCACTTCGAATCTAGTATCTTTTCTAGCACAAGTAACGGACGAGCTCGATTCGTGCGGATCTGTTGATACTATTTATACTGATATAAGCAAGGCTTTTGACACCGTTAACCATGGAATTCTTCTATGTAAGCTCTCACGGTTTGGTGTTGCGGGTAGACTTCTTGAATGGTTTGCCTCTTACCTAAAACTTCGCACTTCTAAAGTGGTTATGGGCTGTTTTTCATCGTCTCCATTTGTTTCTACATCCGGCGTTCCTCAGGGGTCCCACCTTGGCCCAATCTTCTTCAATATATTTATCACCTCTTTAAACACGTTACCTGTTACCTGTATGCTGACGATATGAAACTAGCTATGCCAGTCCGCTGTAGTGAAGACTTTTCGTTACTACAGGAAGATTTGAACAACCTAGGCAGGTGGTGTGCTGATAATAAATTAACTTTAAATGTTGATAAATGAAAGCACATTCGATTTATTAGATGCAAGAACATAACGAGTCACACTTATGACATCAATGGTTGTGTGTTAGAGGAGGTGGACTCAGTGCGTGATTAAGGTGTAATGTTAGATAAAAAATTACTCTTTAATAAGCATGTGGATGCCATTGTGACAAAAGGATTTCGAATGCTGGGTTTTGTGCTGAGAGACGCTAAGGACTTTAAAAGGCCTTCCACTAAGGTTTTGCTATTTTCAACATTGGTACGCTCAATTCTGGAGTATGGCAGTCAGGTCTGGAATCCACAATATGACATTTATATTAAGCGTATTGAACGAATCCAGAAAAGGTTCATGTGGCATCTTTCTTATCAGACTCACAAAACTAAGGAACTGCCTTCATACCGAGATCGTCTTTCTTTTTTTGGTTTGATGAGTCTGAAGGACAGACGATTACTTCTGGACCATATGTTACTTTATAAAGTTGTGAATGGATTAATCGATTGCCCTTTTCTATTGATTCGCTTGAACTTTAATATTCCTCTCAGGCTTCCTCGTTTGGGCAGATATGTTCCGCTTTCGGTGAAGGGTAGTAAAAGTAACCTGGGCCACCATGCTACATTAAATAGACTCCAAAGACAATTTAATCTGTTAAGCAAACAGCCAGAATGCCAAGCGGATATTTTTTGCAATAAACCATTGCAATTCAAGCGGGAGGTGCGAGCTCTCATATCTGGACCTGTGTAGCATTATTTACTGTGCCTGTTTTGACATTTTAATCATATTTTAATTTTATTTTTGTTGTTATATAGTTGTTATTATTGTCTACATTCTTTATAATTTTAATTAATTTATTTATTATTGCTTTTTTACACTTAATGGATTACAAATTAATTGTTAGTAATTATATAATTTAAATTGACTTGTAATAGTATATGTATTTTTAACATCGAATAAGTGTATGTAATCAGAAAGTGTTCTGTTATTTATATCCATGTTTGCAAATAACCTAATATTAAGGCAAAATTTAGCATCGATTTTATATTATTAGCACTGAATAATTTACTTATAGACGATTTGTGTCTTGTTGGTTGTCCTAATCAAATAAATTTCACTAAAAGTTAAAGTGTTAATTAATACTTGTTACTAATAAATAATGTCTTTCCTTGTTTGTCAAATTTCTATACAAACAGTTTGTTGTCTTTTTGATAAATTCAGCGTACAGCCAAACAAAACCCACCAACCGAAAAGTACTACACTATTTCAGTACTACAATTTTGACAAAAATATTTGTGGAAGACTAAATTTTCAAATCAATGAAAAATATGTTATAAAAAAAACTTCAATTTGGAGTAAGTAATAGGGTTCCTGTTTTATCCTTTGATAAAAGAACTAACAAGTTTTGTGTTTTGACTTCATTCAATATACTTACATTAAATATATATTTTACTGTATACTTGAAGCTTTTGGTAGCTTTTATGACAAGAACAAATTATAAAAACATTTAAAAAAATGTGGCAACTTCAATTTTAAGTTGTGCTGTACCCAAGAGAACTGTTCAAGGACCTTATATACAACGTGTCCCAAAATTCAACGATAAGCGGGCGCCAAGAGGTAGACCTGCTCATATGTACTTATGGAAAAATAAGAAAAAAAATTATATCTTATTAATCTTTTTTATTATAAAATTAAATTCGAAAATCTTCGAAAATTTACACCTTTTATGATATTTTCAACTACCACGACCACAACTTCTCAATTATGTTCAATCTTTTTTTGGTATCGGATACCTAAGTAGCACTACTATTCGCTACAACTCTTAAAAACACCAAAATGCCCGCAGTTTATACACAAAAAACAATGAAAATGTATTTTTTCCTTAAATTTTCACAGATTTTTACGTTCCGTAATCTTTGATTTACGGTCTTGTAAAAAAAAAGTATGGACACCACTGTGGCAAGTTATTTTTAAAATTGACTGAACTCATCAAGATTCCAAAATGGTATAATAATCTAAGATAACTAGTCACAGTAAAAAAATATGCACACCATTTGTAAACAAACGAACCAAATTATAAACATTCATTAGATATTTATTTATTAGGTAATGCTCTATTTCTGCTATTTTGAATGTATTGTTTTTCATGCCACTTCGCCCTTTACTTGTGTCTATGTATACCAAATTACCAATTCAGAAATCCCAAAAAAAAAAAACCCAATATCAGTTTAAGGTTAACCTATGGACGGGCATATTAAATGGAAAAGTGATCGGGCCTTTTGAACTACAAGGAAACTTGGATGGTGACAGTTATTTGAACTTTTTACAAAATGATTTGCCAGAATTGCTTGAAGACGTCCCCTTAAGAGATCTACAAAATATGTGGTTTCAAAATGATGGTTGCCCAGCTCACTACGCTCGTCCTGTGAGACAATACTTGGACCAAGAGTATTCCGGGCGTTGGATTGGGCGACTTGGTCCTATCTTATGGCCACCCCGATCACCCGACCTAAACCCCTGGACTTTTTCTATTGGGGTTGTCTCAAAGACAAAATCTATGAAAAACCCATTACGACATTGGACGAGCTTCGGCAAAAAATTAGTCAGGCTGCGTCACATATCAATGCTAAAAGGTATGCACGAAAAATAAAACGCTCTTTTTTAAGGCGATGTCGTGCATGTATTAATGCCGGTAGAAAACAATTTGAACATTTACTGTAATGTTAATTATTAATAAATGAATGAGACTAAAACTCACTATTGTTTTATTTCAATATATTTTTTAAATATTAAAACATTTCGGAACAGTACAATTTATTACTCACAACTTTGGTTCTTGATTCTAAATGGTATGATTTTTAGTTTGTTGCTAGTTATCATGAAGTATTATACCATTATGGAATCTTCATGAGCTGCGTCAATTTTAAAAACAACTTGCCACAGTAGTGTCCATACTTTTTTTCTACATGACTGTGAGTCAAAGATTACGGAACGTAAAAATCTGTGAAAATTTAAGGAAAAAAATACATTTTGATTGTTTTTTGTGTAAATACTGTGGGCATTTTGGTGTTTTTAACAGTTGTAGTGAATATTAGTACTACTTTGGTATCCGATACCAAAAAAAGATTGAACATAATTGAGAAGTTGTGGTCTTGGTAGTTGAAAATATCATAAAAGGTGTAAATTTTCGAATTTTATTTTATAATAAGAAAGATTAATAAGATATAATTTTTTTCTTATTTTTCCATAAGTACACATGAGCAGGTCTACCTCTTGGCGCCCGCTTATCGTTGAATTTTGGGACACGTTGTATATACAAAATGTAATAAAAATGAACATTCATATTTATTAAATCATTTATTATATCACAGACATCAAAAGTTCCAACCTTCATGAAGGTTTTAAACATAATTTTACATAGGCATGAAACAATGTCTTGTAACAAAATTACAGTTCTTCATCATTAATAAACAAAATCAAAATTATAGTTTTTGATGTCAGTATCCATGATATCCTTGTTACCGTCATCATCACACTTCTCAGGGAAATTAACAAGACATGACTTAAGAAAGGAGAAGTCAGATTGCAAGTCTTTATAGATGAGAAAATTTATGAACCAAAGAAAAAAGGAATCGCTTGAAGATGATTCAATACATTTCAAGCAATAAATATCATTTGAAGGTAATACACTATTTAAGATTAAGGTTTTTTTTCCAAGTCCCAAATTCTCAGTCTTGCTTCGTAACATATCTTCATTCAAATATGGATAAAGAACTGACATCTTGACATTATTTTGTGATATTTTTTTCTTATAATATTTGCTGAAGTTTGAATCAATCCAGCTAAACTTTATAGGTTTAAACCGGTTGTCCAATTTGTAAGCTGGTATGTCAGGAACCTCTACATAGTCAACTAAAAATTAGTAAAAGAGCACTAAAGGATTTATCATTACAAGATATAATAAATATTCTGTGACTTAGATACTATTCTAAATTCGTTGATGTTCTAGATTCATTGACGTGAAATTTCCAAAATGAATATTTTAAAATAAATTTAATCTTACCGGGTAACTCATCGTCACTTTCTAGTAAATCATCAAAATGTTTATCACTCGTCATGTTTAGTTTACAAACTTTACCTCTCTCTTGTTCTGAACTTTAATGTCTGACTGAACGCATAAGTTTTTAAATCTATCACCAACTATTGTTTTTATTTTAGTGTGAGACCTTTTTTTTATATGGGACTCAAACGGGACTTTACATTTTTTTAATATATGAAATGCATGTGTCGAAAATACATATAACCACAATCAGTGTGACCAGATTATTTTTTACGAAAATACCGAAGCACCTCAAAAAAATACTGAAATATACCAACTTGAACAGGGAAAATATACCAATAAAAATACTGATTTTAAAATTTTAAAGTTTAATCAATCATCACAATAAATGTTAGAATTGTATTTTAACATTCTATTTGAGGGATTAAAATTAACACAACCTCCTTGATCTTTTACACCTTGCTTTGTATGTAAAATTGCTGATACATTTTTGTTTATAAATCTGTTTCTTTGTTCCGTTTTTATTAAATTTATCTGTGAAAATATGCGCTCGCATGCAGCATTCGATACCGGTATACATAACAGAGATTTACTGAATGCAGTTAAATTTTTGTACTTGAACGTGCCATCACTATTAGAAATTTTCCCAACTTCCACCCAAAATTGTTCATAAGAAAGGGGTGAGCCAGAACTCGAAGATTGTAACAAATCACTTACTTCGCGATCAAGTTTAAGGGTTCTATATTCTTCATCAATTAACTGCATTTGTTCTGGCTGTACTTCGTATGGGAAAGTTTCTATTATATTTCTTAAACTGCGAAATTCTTTATTCACGGCAGTGTGTGGGTCGAGAAATTTCAGTTCTCAGAAAATTTTATTATCAAAAGGCAAAACTCAATTAAAAAAGATTGGCACCTTCTGAAAAAATCAGCAATTTGTTCTTTCATGTTTATGTTTTCCCTGTGTTTGATTAATTCTTGACCCACTCGGATCCCTAAGTACATATCATTTAATGACAAATAATTTATAGTAGACTTTGGGTCTAACGTAAATACGTTGTCCGTGCTTTTGATATAATTAGTTTTCATGAAGCAACCCAAAATCGACAAGTACATACTAGATGCATCATCGTATAATTTTTCAATGCACGGATAGTCGCCTTGAAAAATTATGTTAAATTTGTTAACAATCGGCAAAATGTAATCTAAAAAGTAGAAGTACAATTTGTTTATATCACTGGTAAAAAAATTATATATCATTTCTGATGAAAGAATGCGATCACTCAAGTATTAGTCTTGAAAGAACAACTGCAGTGCCCTCCATTGCTCAATTATTCTACTAACACAAGCATGAAGCGATAACCACCTTATATCATAATGACGTAATAGTCTATGGTTTTCAGTGTCAGTGAAATTTTGGAACTCAGCATATTCTCTTTGACGCTTGCTGCTTTGAGAAAAATATCCATATACTTTTATCATCTTTTATCATCTGTTCTAAATTTCTAGGCAGTATTTTGCAAGCATGGCTAACACTTAATGCTGCAGAGTGACAAACACATTTTATGAAAAAGCACTTTGGGTTCACTTCTTTAATTTTTGCAACAATGCCAGAATGTTGACCAAACATCACATTCGTAGTATCAGCAGCGAATCCCAACACATCTTTTATATCTAAACCTAATTCGAATAACTTTGATGACAAAGCATTAAATAAATGATCTGCGGTCTCACCACTTAAATCAACTAAATCAAGGAATTTGGTTTTTACTGTACATTCTGTTTCAGAGAAGTATTTGATTACTATCGCCAATACTTTGACTGTGGCAACATCTGTACTTTCGTCAATTACAATTGAACAAACTGGTTTACCTGACGGAGATGCAGTACTAAGTATGTCTACAATCATATCTTTTTCAAATTCGGGTCCTAAAACGTTATAAGTTATAGCGGCTGCTTTGGTCCTCTTGCAGGAAAATTCTTTCGCAATTTCGGAGTCGGGAAAACACTTTACTAGAATTTCATTAAGATGGTCCATAGCTCTAAAAGGGATGTTGTGTTCTGCAAAAACGGAGTTCAGCTTTCTTGACTTCGTCTTTCAGTGGTACCTTTCTAAAAAATTTATCAACCTGGAAATAAATAAAAGAATTGGTAGCATAGACCATCCACTAATAAAAACATCTCCAGAACAACAACAACAGAACTTCTTGACTTTAGCTACAGTAATGCTATATATATCAATGTATGCTTACCTTTGACTGTCCTTTATATTTTTTAAAGTTCCATTTATGCTTTTCACTATTTGCATGTACGCCGCCTTTTGCAAAGCATGCAGTGCGAAACTCCAAAGTAGATTAGCAAAGCAAAAGGCGGCGTACTCGTCATCTTTATAACGTGAAAGCCACGAAGAAAACTCCGGAATTTGTTACCACTTAGCTAAATAACTTTGCTGAAAACTAGACATTTCGTTCCGGACGGATGCGTCAAGTAAAATAAAAACAAAAGGAAAGCGCTCTATTTATATGATGACAAAAACGTACTACAAAGGGGAAATTCCCGATTTATCGAAAGAATAACTTCAAAGATTAAGTTAAGTGCAGAACAGAAACTCATTTTATTTAAACCGTATTAGATGATTCGATACTATTAATAATTTTACTTCGGCGGACGCTTGCCATGTCCTATCTATAACTTACTGATCTTTGCTCCCGAATGAAATAATAGATTAAGTCCGGGAAATTCCCTGGCAGAAATTCGCGGAGACGTTCGCTATGGTGTTGCCATAACTTTTTATCCAAAATATACCAAAAAATACTGACTTCCGACAATATACCTACAAAAATACTGATGCTTGGAAAAGTCGATAAAATATACTGAAAAAGTATTAAAATACTGAATATGGTCACACTGACCACAATATAACGCACAGAACTCAGATCAAAGTAACACAGCACAGCTAGGCATACCGTTCTGATTTTGAAAAATCGATTATTTAAAGTATAATAATCGATTTTTCAGATTGATTTGGAATGCTACATCGATACTTGAATGATGCATGAACCCGAATCGAATCAAACTAGCAATATAAAATTCCTAAATTGATTATGATATTAAATAAATATTTAATAACGCATTCGAATGTCAGTATAGTATAGTTGTCACTACTGTCACTGTTACTTCAGCTCGTGGAATCACCCATCATATATCGCCCCTCTCGTTAATAAGAAAAAAATAAAACGTACCATAAAGTTGCCCATATTCCTAAAGTTACAAGAGCGGGAAGTATTCAAATGAATTTTGATGTTTGGTATGATATTCTTCTCATTTCTCTATGTCTGTAAAGGATTTCATAAAAGGCTATTTTGAACTTTTTCATAGTTTTGTTTCATGATTTATCTTTTTGTTGCGAAAACATTATTTAACACACCCTGTCGTCGATTTCAAAACGTCGGCGGGCCCTATTGGCCAAGATTGAACATCTAAATAGAGAACTCGACCAAGAACTATCTGCTGGGGTCTCCAGGAACACCGTTTTCTTCCTTGAGTGTGCTCTTCACAGAACAATAATACTCTACAAGAAGAATGCCAACTTCATAGAAAAATATTATCCATAGAAACTAGCTCCACCTATAGTCAGCCCTCCGAAACAAGTAGTATGGCGGGAAGTTTAAATACTTACTTTTATACTTTGGTTTCATATTAACTACCAAATTACTAAAACCAATGTTTTCTATGAATATCCATAACATAAACAAATTCCACAAACGAAAATCATCCATAGGGAACACAGGTTTTAGTAATTTGGTAGTTAATCTAGGTGAAATATAGGGACTACTTCAAAAAGGGAATATAATACAAGCAGATAATAATAACACACTCTATTTTATTATTATTTTAACATACCGCTTTATTACACAAATAAAGTGAATTTTCAACATACTGTTTGGTTTTTAACTTTAATAGTTATTTATTGTTGAATACATTGATTTACAAGCCTTTAGAATTATTTTAACGTGTGCACCAAATTATCAAGAAAATGATTTTAACACAGCATTCTATGTTCAGTGTACAATTTCATTTGGAATTCTGTTGATGAATTCCGTCCTTTGTGGAAAATATATTTAGCCCACGATTCACATCTGAAAACAAATACAACGAAATTAAGAATGTTATATCCTTATAGTACAAGAGATAGAGCTACATTTTCCTAACAATTTTATAACAAACTAATTTAATTTATAGTTCGTAATCGATAAACATCCTTAATCACCGTCACCTACATCATCACTTTTATCAGAAATAACATAAAATTCTTTCATACAGATTAGCATGACATACCTAATACTGAAGCTCTTTGACTCAAGTCATATTTTTTACAACTAAATACAAGTATTTATGTCAATTCTAACTCTACTGCTAATAAAATAATTAACACTAGCATTACATAATGGGAATATTCTCTTGTTAAAATGAAGCGGAACTTCACGTACTATTCATTAGTTTGGAAATCTAAAAATAGAAGATTAAAACAAGTGCCGTATAAGATTCCTTTTAGCCGGCTTCGGAAAACGAAAGAGCTTTACATTATGCTGGGTTGGGGAACGTCCACACTTAAAACATTTTCTTCTGTTTTCTTTATCAGCCATATTTTCAACAACAACAACAACAGAAAAGAGTCACTATCTCAAATAACTATGAATCCACTTTCTAAGCACATTAAAAGGAGGAACAAAAGCTCATCTCGACGTTATAATGATAAGAAAATGCAGGAAATAAGTAATTGTGATGGAATCGCATCATATCGCATGGAACAAGTGGGAACAACAACAAAACAAATTGCCATTATCGACACCAAATCAGTTACAAAAATAACTACTACTAATTTTAACAATGATGCCTTCCAATTAATAAAATTAAAACGATTGCAACTCAAAAAAAATAAAAGTCATTTAATTTAAAACTGTATTATTTACTTGACTTAATAAAATGTATTTCTGAATATTAAAAACTTGGATAAATATAATTTTTTGGTAAAAGACTACTAAAATGTGTGCAAGTCATAACATGAGGCAACACTGCAGATTCATTTCATTGCCATACTATTAAATCTTAGTTGCTAGTTAAAAATATGGTATTATGAAAGATTATTTGGGTCTTTCATCATAAAATTTTGCCCCTGTAGGTAT